CCCCCTAATAATCATCTCTGATCTTCCTTTCTACGTGACCGTATTTTAATCCTTAAGCACAGGCGCTGAAACTATATAAGCTCTTCTGCGGCCACTTATCACCGCCGTGTTGTATTTGTATATTATTATTATTATTATTATTATTATTATTATTATTATTATTATTATTATTAAAATAATAAGCTACGATAGCAAAAAAAAATACGTTAAACAATTTTTGAGATTTTTAATATTTAGTTGTGTTTTTTATTTATTTTTGTTGTTGTTGTTGTTTGGTTGTGTTTGTGTTTCGGGCTGCAGGGATCCATTTTGACTTCATCTCTGTTCAACACAGACATGTCCTAAATCATTGTAGGACCTGGAACAGGCCTGATCATTTACATTAAAACCACAACTGTATCTTCTCACTTCTTCTTCCTTCCTTCTTTTTTTATTTTTTTATTGTTTTACCAAGACTATCTGATTCTTTATAGGAGATTTTTGCGTCTGGACAGAAAACTTAAGAAAAGCGACCATGATCTGGCAAAAACACAGCAAACTTACTAACACAATTCAGACTGTTTCTCCAGGCTAATTTATTTTTTTTATTTTTTTATTAATGTCTTTTTTGCCTTCATGCACCATGCCAAATTTCAACTCCACAGAATATGTGTTCTGCACATTTGAAAAAAAAAAAAAAATTATTATATATATTTTGTGCCTCACAGTCGCCTTTTGTAAAAATCCACCAGGCACATCTCTGTAACCCAGTCAAACTGCAGCCATTGCTTTGAGCCATGCCTTGTAGTGAAGGTAATGCAATTTCTGAATAGCTTCTGACGGCGGAAAAAAAGCACATTTAAAGGGGATTTACTGTGGAAGGACAGCATTTAAATGTTAACGTCTTAAATATAAAACCTAAAATATATGTTTAAAAATAGATTTTTTCTTGCTTCTTTGTTATTTTTTGTAATTTTATTGTTAATTATTTGATTGAGTCACAATTTTAAAGCTTAGACTCTTAAAATTGTTCATAAATACTTGTTGTATACATGTCAGGCTTTTGTGCTGCTAATGTGGTCACGGCTACTCTGTTCCGGCACCAAGAACGTTTCCCTCCAAACGACATTCCTTTTGTCCTTTAGGCTTGCCAGCATGCCTAAGTGGGCCCCATATGGGGAAAAGGAGGGCAGACCAGATGGGTCCCATATGGGTTTGTCCGCGGGTTCCACGATGGCCCCACATGGGTTTGCCCATGTAGGGCCACAGCCCACATGGGCCCTACATAGGCCCTACATGGTGGTGGGCCCATATGGGTTTGCCTATTTAGGGCCAATGTAGGGCCCACGTAGACTGTGGCCATAGGGAGGGCAAACCCATGTGGGGCCATCGTGGAACCCGCGGAGAAACCCATATGGGACCCATATGTCTGCCCACCTTTCCCCCATATGGGGCCCACCTAGGCATGCTGGCAGGGTAATATTTGTCTTGAGATCTTCCGCCATCTTAGAACTCCAAAACTAAAAGCCACATGTCTAAGCAAAGATGTTCTGATCTTGTGTAAAATATTTCAGTGCGATGTCAGTCTGCCTGGATGTTAACCTGGGATGGTTTACGTTAAAATATCTCCTGGTCTTTTGAAAGCTGTGCATTCAGCAGCTGTTTGAAAGTGTTGGAAAGTAAACTAAAGATAAAGAGAGACGTTACTAGTCATGATCATTAAGTTAGGTAGACATATTAGAGAGTAAAATGTATTTATATAGCACCTATCAGGGAGATAGGCTTTACAAAGATGCAAACATAAAATCATAAAGACAAAAACTAACATAAAAGGTAGCAGCCTGTTATTATTACTTAAAGAAAAATGTTTTATGATGCATTAGAATAAAACTTTGACAGCTTTATTTGGATACTGATGTATATTAGTCCTGTTTCCCTGTGCCGCTGATGCGTTGCCTCTCTGTCCCTGTAGTTCCCATCATTCCCAGCTACCTGTACAACCTGGATGAGTCTGCGGATGTGGAGATAAGGAACGGCAGCCTATCGCCACAGGCTCCCTCCGGCTCTTTCCACGCTATTGTGTCTTTGTATGACAACAGCGTCAGGTTATCGGGCTCCAACTCCACCATCGGCACGGCTGACCTGGCCCGCCCCACCCCGGCCCACGCACCGCTTCCACGCAACTCCTCCGACTGCCCTCAGTCCACCAGCAGGCTGCTCAACGAAAATGTCAAAGTTGGGATGTTGTTTGCTTCCAAGGCCACTGTGCAGCTGCTCACCAACCCCTTCATAGGGCCGCTGACCAACAGGTACGGCTCTGCTCTGCTTCGCTCTGTGAGTTACAGATCGAGCCGTTCCTACGTTGAGCTAAATGTCGACATGCGCCTGAGTGAACAGTTTCTTAGGGATTATGCTTCATACCACTTTTATACACTTTGCCTTCATGTTTTAAGACCTCAAAGAAAGAAAGTTATCTCCTTTAGTCAATTTAATAATGAAACAATCACTGACTAATATTGATAACAATGATTCAAAATTGACCCTTTTTGTTGGATTCCAAATTGGGTCAAATCTAGAATCTGTAACCTTCTGCTAATTTTGAAACTTCAAAACAGATTTCATCTGAAAAACTATTTTTGTTTCACAAAATGAAGACTCTGACGGTCTTCCCAAACTGTTTTCATTCACGGTTAAGATCAGAATTATTATTCCCGCCGATGAAATTACAGAGCGCTCTCAATAATTCAGTTCCTAGCCAAAAGATTTCCCATGAATGTTTGAAACATGGCGATGTGATTTGGAAGTCTGTTCTTTGGTCCAAAGAGACCAAACCTGAGCTCTTTGGGCACAAACAGCGATACTTTTGTTTGGAGAAGGAAGAGAGAAGTCTTCAACCGTAAAAACATTGTTCACAATGTTAACGGTGGTGGAAGCATCGAGCTGCGATGATTTGTCATGGAGTATGAAGAGACGTGGGTCAGCGAGGCTACTGTCAGATGTACGACAGAGAGGCCACGCTATTGGCCATCAAATGTCAGGAGGCGTAACGATGTTGGCCTCTCCAATGTTTCAGTTTTTGGTCAGAACATCTATAAAACATACTGATCAAACTGGTGGAGGTTTTCCTCTTAATGTTTTGGAAGCAGTATGAGTAGGTGCAGTACTAAACATGGCCACGTCCATGGAAACAGTGAGAATATGAGTTTCGGTCAGAGGCTGTAGTTGTTCCTAATGTACAGCAGAGAGATGCTGCCTCAGAAACGTTCACATTTCTAATGCAGATAGGTGGACTTTATGTGTATTTAGTTCTAATCATTTATCTATTACCTGTCAGGTATTTATTATTTAATGATTTTTTTAAAATTATTAATACTGAGTACGGAGGTCCCATTTCCAATACAGTTAGAAAAATATAATAAGTGGTAAAGTAAAAACTAATTTGATCAATAATCAAGATTTTTCTGCAGGCTCCTCTAAAATAAATAGAACCTCTGAAATTAAGTAATGAGTAGCATATCATCTAAATATCAACTTGTGAGGGTTTTTGTTTAAATGTGCGCACTTTACTAGAATGTCATTAACATATATTAAGTTCACTTTTTATAGATTTGTAGTAAAATCTTAGACTGGTCATTGTTTTGTTTGATTTATTTAGTAGTAATGGAGAGAGCTCATTCCAAAACTACTGAAATAAATGATTTAAATACAACCACTTTGTATCTCCAGTCATAAACTGAAAAGTTTTTAGTTTTGTTGTCAGGGTGATAAAAACCCGGTAGAAATAAGAGTAATCATTTCTGCGTAATAATTTAATCCAACAATCTAGTTGCATTTTGCTGTAATCTTATAGTACGTACACTATTACCTTTCGGTTTTCTGCTCACTGTTTAGTTTTATATATTTTCGATCGATTCTATGTGTTTTGTTTCCTTAATTCACTGTATGGTTTTAATCATTTTTAATTCTAACGTTTGTGTTTTTGAAGTGTCGCTGTCTGAATCGTTTGCAGCATTTCGTTCGTATGCTGTCGATTTTTTGAATGACAATAAAGTGTCTAGTATCAAATGAGCATGTGAGCAAGCTGACTCAGTAAGAATCAATTTATTATTAATAGGAATTTGGATGTAAAATTCTTAGCTATTAATTTAGATAGAGTTAAAAAAAAAACATATTGAAAATCTATGCACAGATGGATAAACTTACTTGGCCTGTTTGGTTTAAAAACTCCTCAACTTGATTCGTTTAGTCAGAACTTTCTTCAGATGTTATGGGAACCTAATGTGATTTTGCAACAAACTCTACAGAGGAAACACTGGAAGAGAAAAATATCTGACATGAACCAGACTGGATGGAGCTGCAGCACTGAGACACACACTTCTTACACATCACAGGCTTCCTGTCAGAAACGGCAGAAATTGTGAATTAAATTTCCCGTTGTGTTTTTAAAATGGAAAACATAATTGCATGTATGGTCTTATCTATGACAATGTCTAACAAATAAAATAATAATAATAATAATAATAATAAAAAACAGACTCCCCTTAGGGGGTTTTGATGAAATGGTAAATGACAGTTTGATGAGGAGTTTTTTGTGGATAAAGATTCATAACAACAGATCTAAAACCACTGGATCAAACAGAGCAGAATTCCTGATTACGGAGGTTTGGATGTGTGTGCATGTTTACATTTGCCTGGTTTTCCCCAGATGACTACAGTGTGAGGGAACTGCTCAGATTTCAAACCAACAGGAGTGTGACAGATAGAATAAGAAGAATAAGAAGAAGAAGAAGAAGAAGAAGAAGAAG